TAAAAAAAAAAAAAAAAAAAAAGAAGAAGAAAAGAAAAAGAAAGGCATCGCCAAAAATAGAGTTATACTATCAGGATTGGGAAGACACAAAATTTTATATTAATCAGATTTCAATAAACTAAGCTATCAGAGAAACTATCTCTTTGTAAATTCTTATATTATAGGACACCATACCTGTACTTTATAACGATATAACTCTCCTATAGGATGATGAGGAAAGGCCAGAAAGTTGGGTGTAAGCTTGATGGGAAAATAAATCTTTACTTCTTGCTGGTGTTTGATTAGACATTTTAAAGGCTGAATATTTTTATTCTGTAAGGGTGAGAAAGAAGGGACAAAATAGGTCCTTTTAAGGACTGTACTTACAACACACTTTTTTTTAGAGAGGTTTTTGCTGTAGGGCACATGCGCTCACCAGAAAGACAGAGAGAGACAGAGAGACAGAAAGTGAGAAATCACCCCCCAGGGGGGATGGCCATGCCACAATCCCTTCTCCTCTGTTCTCCTTTTGGGATCTTGGGCACACACGCACACGCGCCTGGCATGAGTTTAAGCTACCAGGTCCAGGACTCGAACCATGGTCGACTACATGGGAGTCCAGCAACATAGCCATTACGCCAACTGCTGGTCCCACAGTACACATTTATATACACAAAACATCAGCAAAATGGTGTGCTTATGAAGTACTCGACTGGCTTCTCTATATAAAATCAATAAAGAAATAAGTATTCCTGGGCCAGCTGGTGGTGTGGTGGTTAGGATAGCTAGATCCCACATGGCCAACTTGTAATTTGAGTCCCAAACCAAGTGGCTTGAAAATCATGCCAGGTGCATGTTCATGTGTGCCTAAACTCCTGAGAGGAGAATGGAGGAGAAGGGACTACAGTGGGCCATATCCCCAGGGGGGTGATTTCTCACGTTCCCTCTCTCTTTTCTCTCTGGCAAGTGCACCTGTCCTATAGCAAAACTTAAAAGAGAGAGAGAGAGAATGGAATTAATCTTTTTTTTTTCTTTTTTTGGGGGGTAGAGGTTTTTGCCTAAGGGTGTGTGCACATGCGGGGTGGGGGGTGGGAGAAAGACAGAAAAAGTAGGACAGAAAGTGAGAAATCATCCTCTTACACCCCAGGGAGGATGGTGATGCCACAATCCCTTCCCCTCCCTTCTCTTCCTGGGATCTTGGAAACACATGCACACCCAATGTGAGTTTCAAGCCACTGGGTCAGGGACTCAAATCATAGTCAGCCATGTGGGAGTCCAGTGACTTTTTACTGCTACGCCATCTACTGATCCCCTAAAAAGAAATAGTCTATTGATTAAAGAAGCAGAGCTACTGATTCAATAATAACAAAAGAAATTTTGCTAGACCTAAACTAAGTATCATAAACAGGGAAAACAGGGAACTAGTAGATGGCATAATAGTTATGTCGCTAGACTACCACGTAGTTGACCGCAGTCCTGGACCTGGCGACTTAAAACTCATGCCAGGAGCATGTGGATGTGTACCCAAAATCCCAGGAGGAGAATGGAGGAGAAAGAATTGCGGCATGGTCATTCCCCCTGGGGGTTGATTTCTCTCTGTCTCTCTATCTCTGCCTCTCCAGTGAGCACACGTGCCCTTTAGCAAAAATCTCTTTTTGTTTTCTTTTTTTTTGGAGAGATTTTCCCTATAGGGCGCGTGCGCTCTCCAGACAGACAGAGAGAGACATAGAGACAGAAAGCGAGAAATCACCCCCCAGGGGGGATTGGTCACGCCGCAATCCCTTCTCCTCCATTCTCCTCTCGGGATCTTGGGCACGCACGCACACACGCCCGGCGTGAGTTTTAAGCCACCGGGTCCGGGATGCGAACTGTGGTCAACTACGTGGGAGTCCAGCAACATAGCCATTACACCAACTGCTGGTTCCCAGCAAAAATCTCTTTTAAAACAAACAAACAAACAAGGAAAATAGTTTAAAATTTCCTGAGAAGAGTTTTACCAGCATTTGAAGGGTATATGGGAAATCATAGTTTCAAAAAGACCTCTGGACATTCATCAGTAAAGTTCATAAAGTTTAAGGAAAAGGGATATTACAACCTACTCAGAAGAAAAGAAAGAGAATATATAAAGGTTGTGGGGTAAGACATTTCCTTCATACTTGAAAATAAACATATTGCTGGGAAATATATACAAGTAAAATGAAGTCTTCACATTCAGTTACACTAACATTTTCTCTTTAAAGGCAAAATCGATTAATCAATTTATCATCCGTCATCTATCTGTTTTTTTAAAAGTTCTTTTTTAAATAGAACTATTTTATTTAACTTTATTTGTTTGTTTGTTTGTTTGTTTTAATTTGATCAGAAAGGGACAGAGAGAGAAAGAGACAGAGGGGAAGTGAGAAAGCAAGCCACTATGTCTGGGACTTGAACTGCAGTCAGTTATATAGGAGTCCAGCGCCCTTAACCACCACACCACCTGCCGGCCCCTAAAAGTCCTTTTATGTCCTTACAGTGTCCTTCCAGTGATGACCCTAATTTTATCCTCATTTTCTTTTTTTAAAAAACAATTCTATTATTTTATTGCTTATCATCATCATTATTTAATTTGGCCAGAGAGAGACAGATAGAAAGAGAAAGGGAAAGTAGGTAATCAGGTCTCTACGTCTGAGACTCAAACCATGGTTGGCCATGTGGGAGTCCAGAGCCTTTACCACCTACTACCTGCTGGCTCCCTCACTTTTTTTTTTTTTTGCTTAAGAATTATTTTATTTAACTTTATTTATTTGTTTGTTTGTTTGTTTATTTTAATTTGACTGGAGAGGGACAGAGTGAGAGAGGAAGAGAGGGAGTGAAAGCCAGCTGCTAGGTCTGGGATTTGAACTGTGGTCGGCCATGTGGGAGTTCAGTGCCCTCAACCACCATGCCACTTGCAGGCCCCTCACTTCCTTTTTAATAGCTAACATTTTTAAAATTTATTTTTAGTTTTGCTAAAGAATGTATGCTCACCAGAGAGAAACAAAGAGAGCAACAGAGAGAGAAAGTGAGAAAGCACCCCCTAGAGGAGATGGCTTTGCCACAATTCCCTCTCTTCATTTTCCTCTTGGGATTTTGGGCACACACACACACACACACACACACACACACACACACACACACATCTGGCGTGTTTTTCAAGCTACTGGGTCCAGGACTTGAACCATGCAGTTGACCATGTGACATTCAGTCACCTTGACCACCAGGTCATTGGCTAGTTCCTCTTCTCACTTTCTTTTCTTTGTCTTTTTCTTTTTTTTTTTTAGAATTATTTATTTAATTTTATTTATTCATTCATTTATTTTAATTTGACTGGCCGAGGGTGGGGGGGAGAGGGAGAAAGAAGCCACCAGGTCCAGGACTTGAACCGTGGTTGGCCATATGGGAGTGTCCATCCAGTGCCTTAACCACCATGCCATCTGCTGGTCCACGTCTTCTCACTTTCTTTCTTTCTATCTTTCTTTCGTTCTTTCTTTCTTTCTTTTTTTTTTTTTTTGAAGAGGTTTTTGCAATACAGTGTGTGTGCTCACCAGAAAGAGAGACAGAAAGCAAGAAATCACCCCCCGGGGGGAGAGCCACGCCACAATCCCTTCTCCTCCATTCTTTTTTCAGCATCTTGGGCACACACACACACACGCGGTCAACTACATGGGAGTCCAGCAACATAGACATTACGCCAACTGCTGGTCCCCTCACTTTCTTATGGAAGTAGAATCACACTGAAAATAAGACTTTCTTTCTTTCTTTCCTTTTTTAATTGCTAGAGGGTGGCCAGCAGGTAGAATGGCATGGTGGTTAAGGTGCTGGACTCCCACATGGCTGACCGTGGTTCGAGTCCCTGGTGGCTTGCTTTCTTGCTTTCTCTTTATCTCTCTCTGGTCAAATTTAAAAATAATAAAATTAGGTAAAATAATAATTTTTTAATTGCCAGAGTGCACATGGACTCATCAGAGAGATCCCCATTGAAATCTCTTTCCTCTGTTTTTCTGTCTTACCAGAATTTTGAGCTCTTATGCATATGCCTCTAATATATTTTTCAGGTCTCCAGGGCTGAGATTCACACTGCAGTTGGCCCTGTGGGATCTGTCTCCCAACACACAACAACACTTAATCACTATGATAAAGGCTGACTCAGTCTTTCAGTTTAGTTATTTAGTTAGTTGCCAGAGGGCATGTGCACTCAATCAGAGAGAGACAAAGAAAAAGAGATGGAGGAAAAATAAATTAAAAAAGAAAAAAAAAAGAGTAGGGAATGGTAGAAGCCATCACAGACAGGAAAGTATAGATTAAATGGTGCAGCCACTATTTGTTTAAGATACTTGTCAGGTCTTCATTTTTTCTAAAAGATCAGAAATCTTGGGTTTTATTTGAAATTTCCTGGTTAAAAAAAACTTACATGCCAAAAGATAAACTGAGATAACCTTCAGGCTATCAGTTTGTGATCTCAGGCATAGAGGATTCTAAAAATATATTTTTAAAAACTCAAACTTGGGGCTAGAAGGTGGTGTGGTGTTTAAGCTGCTGGATTACCACATGGTCAGCCACAGTTTGAGTTCCTGACCCAGTGACATGAAAATCACAACAAATAAATAGATAAATAAATAAACATTTAAAAAGAAAAAGAAACTCAAACTTTACCTTAAAATAAATGGAATGGTGGCCAGCAGATGGCATGGTGGCTAAGGCATTGGACTCTGACATGGTCGACTTCTGTTAGAGTCCTGGACCTGCTGGCTTGCTTTCTTACTTTCCCTTTCTCTCTCTCTGGTCAAATGTTTAAAAATAATAATAAATAGGGAACCAGCAGTTAGCGTAATGGCTATGTTGCTGGACTCCCACGTAGTCGACCGCAGTTCACGTCCCGGACCCGGTGGCTTAAAACTCACGCCAGGTGCGTGTGCGTGCGTGCCCAAGATCCTGAGAGGAGAATGGAGGAGAAGGGATTGCGGCGTGACCATCCCCCCTGGGGGGTGATTTCTCGCTTTCTGTCTCTATGTCTCTCTCTGTCTGTCTGGAGAGCACACGCGCCCTATAGTGAAAAACCTCTCCAAAAAAAAAAAAAAAATCAGAATATCAAGCTAGCCAGGTGGCTTAGTGGATAGGGTGGCTGGAACTCTGTAATATGAGTTGCATATCCGGCAGCTAGCGAAACACTCCAGGCATGTGTGCCCAAATCCCGAAAGCGAAGAGAAATGGAGAAGAGATTATGCAGTGACCATCTCCTGTGGGAGTGCTTTCTCACTTTCCTTCACTCACTCTCTCTGGTAAGCACACGTGCCATCTGGCAAATAGAAAAAAAAAAAAAGAAGATATTCTTACTTATTTATAATATTTTGGGGGCGTTAGAAACACATTAATTCCCAGGCCGGCAGGTCGTGTGGTATTTAAGACAGCTGGACTCCACACATGGCTGACTGTGGTTCCAGTCCTGGACCTGGCAGCTTGGTTTCTCACTTTCTTTCTCTCTCTCTCTGATCAACTTCAATAAAATAAAAATAAATAAATAAATAAAATAATGACAATGAATAAAATTAAGTTAAAAATCTTAAAAAAAAAAACAACAGATTAATTCCTTGTTCCTTTGTCCAGTAGTAACTCTATTTCTGTATTATGTCATTTGGAAATTGAATAAAAGAGAAAAATGTACAAATATATTTATTTAGTTGTACCATTTATACTAGTAGGAAATTAAAAATAATGCAAAAATTCTATGCTTGAGCATAGCTGAACAAATTGGTACGGTAACCCTTTGGATTTTTTAGAATAAAAAGTATCTTATGAAGGCTGGCAGGTGGCATGGTGGTTGGGGAGCTGGACTCTCACATGGCTAGGTGAACAGAGAGTCTGGAACTGGTGAGTTGCTTTCTCACTTTCCCTCTTTCTCTCTGTGTCTCTCTCTGGTCAAATTAAAAAAATAATAATGATGAAATAAAATAATTGCTTAAAAAAAGTATCCTATGTGGACCTGATAACTCATAGAAATTTCTATATAAAATAATTTCTTAAAGAGGTTTTTGCCTTAAGGCAGGTGGGCTCATTGGAAAGAGAGAGAGACAGAGACAGTGAGAGGGAAAGTGAGAAATCATCTCCCAGGGGCATGGCCATGCCGCAACCCCTTCTCTTCCATTCTCCTCCTGGCATCTTGGGCATGCACGCACACATGCCCAGTGTGAGTTTCAAGCCACTAGGTCCAGGACTTGGGACTAGTCGGCCCTGTGGGAGTGCAGTGATGTAACCGTTATGCCATCTGCTGCCCTCATATGAAATAGTTTTTAAAGAAGCCTCAAGTGATATACACACAGCGACCACGAACGCAGACAGATATGTGCAGTAACAAAGATTGGAACAGAAAATGTATAGGGAGTGGGGCCAGCAAGTGGTGTGGTGGTTAAGGCACTGGACTTTCACAAGGCTGTGGTTTGAGTCCCAGACCTGACAGCTTGAAAATCATACCAGGCTCGTGTGCACGCATACCCAAAATCCCAGGAGAAGAATGGAGAAAGATTGTGTTGTGGCCATTCCCAGGGGGGTGATTCCTCACTTTATCTCACCATCTCTGATTCTGTCTGGGAAGCACAGGAGCCCTATGGCAAAAACCTTAAAAGAAAAAAAAAAAAAAAAAGGAAAATTTGTAGAGGTATAAACTGCTATTTATCAGTTTATTTTTGTGGAAAATAAAGATGGTATATGCCCTGTACCTGCTTATAAATCAAGTCGGCCAAGCTTCTTCAATGTTCTTAGGACACAAAGACCATCCATTTCATTCCTACCTGGTGAATGACAGACATCAAGGATGCGTTTATCACCACAACACCATCTTTCAGGGCCTTTACCACATGGTAAGATCCATTCACGGTAGTCAGTTGCTCTTCAAAGTACTCCTTTACAAAGCTGTATGTGATCCTGAGGTTCTGCAAATCAGCCCAACAGCAACATAAATCTGAAGGTACGTTCTTTTCCTAAAGCCATCTTAACCCCAAAGCATGTATGTCTAACTGTGGCTATGCATTCAAGGCATAGAGAAATAAAAACAAAACTTTTGCTCTCCATCATGGAAATCCTAAGTTGGAAAAATACAATTTAACAAGGTACTGGTTTTTGAAAGATCCATTAATGGCAAGAATCAGAAATAGAAACAGCCAAAGTTTAAGTAAAAATTAGTATAATTTATGCCATGCCACAAATTGACAGGGGTAGGGGGGCAGGAGAGACTCTGGAGAGTGAGAGCAACACAGCATATCTGAGGTTCACACTGTGAGTCTCACCACTGCAAAACTGCGGTAAACATCCCTGAGGTGCAGTTGTAGAGAGAGGACCCAGTGTTATCAGGGATGCTCTCTTCAACTCCTTTCTATACTGCTACAAAAATACATATTTTACTTCTGGTTCAGCATTTCACAAAGATAGAACTATTTAGTAACAATAATAAAAAGTAGCAACTTGCATTTCCAAAGGCAAAATCTGGAAGCAAAAAAAACCAGTGGGTTCTCTAGTCAGAATATGGTTCAGTTGGGACCAGCAGTTAGCATAATGGCTATGTCGCTGGACTCCCACGTAGTCGACCGCGGTTCACGTCCCGGACCCAGTGGCTTGAGACTCATGCCGGGCACATGTGCGTGTATGCCCAAGATCCCGAGAGGAGAACGGAGGAGAAGGGATTGCGGTGTGGCCATCCCCCTTGGAGGGTGATTTCTCGCTTTCTGTCTCTCTGTCTCTCTCTGCCTGTCGGGTGAGCGCACGCACCCTATAGCAAAAAACTCTCAAAAAAAAAAAAAAAGAATATGGTTCAGTCAGAGTTATCCACACAGGGGCCAGCAGGTGGCATGGTAGCTAACCACAGTTCGAGTCCTGGGCATGGTGGCTTTCTTTCTCTTCATCTCTCTCTGGTTAAATTGAATAATAATAATAATAAATAAAATTAAATAAATAATTGTGTGTGTGTGCGTGCGTGTGTGTGTTTAAAAAAAAAAGAGTTATCCACACAAGGAGCTAGAATACAAAAGATACCAAAACAAAACAAAACAAAATGAAGCACTCACATCTGAAATATAGACCTTCGTGCTACTTTTATCAAATATTTCCACTGTAATGGCATACGTTTGTCCCACCTCTAGACTCCATCGGTCTCCAGGTCGGATGGTGAAACCTATATACAAATCAAGAAATAAAAATATCAAAAAGAGACCAGCATTTTCCTTTTTCTTTTTTTTTCTTTTTGGAGAAGTTTTTGCTATAGGGCACGTGCGCTCGCCAGAAAGACAGAGAGACAGAGAGACAGAAAGCGAGAAATCACCCCCCGGGGGATGGCCACGCTGCAATCCCTTCTCCTCCATTCTCTCGGGATCTTGGGCACACACGCACACGCACCTGGCGTGAGTTTAAGCCGCGTGACTTTAAGCCACTGGGTCCGGAACTAGAACCGTGGTCAACTACATGGGAGTCCAGCGACATAGCCATTACGTTAACTGCTGGTCCCTTCTTTCTTTTTCTTTTTAAAATTTGCTATAGGGTGTACATGCTCACCAGACAGAGACAGAGAGAGAAAATGAAAAAGCACTCCCTAGGGGATATGGCCATGCCACAATCCCTTTTCCATTTTCCTAAGATTTTAGATTCACACACACACACACACACACACACACACACACACACACGCCTGGCATGTTTTTCAAGCTGTCAGTCCAGGACTCAAACTGTGCAGTCAACCATGTGAGATCCAGCCACCTTAACTACCACACCATGGGCTAGCCCCCAACATTTTTCTACAATGAATTAAAAAATACAAATGTAGGGGCCAGTAGGTGATGTGGTGACACTAGATTCCCACATAGCCATTGTAGTTCAAGTCTTGGACCTGGTGGCTTGCTTTTTCACTTTCCCTTTCTCTCTCTGTCTCTTTCTGTTCAAATAAAATAAATAAATAAAAATAAAGTTAAATAATTTTTTAAAAAGAATTCTAGGGGCTGGCAGGGGGTGTGGTGGTTAAAGGCTCTGGATTCCCACATGGCCGACCACAGTTCGAATCCTGAATCTGGTGGCTTGCTTTCTCACTTTCTCTCTCTCTCTGTCCCTCTCTGGTCAAATTGAAATAAACAAATGAATAAATAAAGTTAAATAATTAATTCTTTAAAAATAAAAAAATATTCTGAAAGAAAATACAAATTTTAAAAAGCTATTCAAGAGCAAAACTTGCTGGGACCAGCAGTTAGCGTAATGGCTATGTTGCTGAACTCCCACGTAGTAGACTGCAGTTCGAGTCCCGGACCCGGTGGCTTAAACTCACGCCAGTCGCGTGTGCATGCGTGCCCAAGATCCTGAGAGGAGAATGGAGGAGAAGGGATTGCGGCGTGGCCATCCCCCCTGGGGGGTGATTTCTCGCTTTCTATCTCTCTGTCTTTCTCTGTCTGGTGAGCGCACGCGCCCTATAGCAAAAACCTCTCAAAAAAAAAAAAAAAAGAGCAAAACTTGCTAAGAGGTGGAGATGGTTTCTAAAGTAGACCTCTTTTAGTTCCTTTTCTCAAACTGTGTAATAACTTAGGGTTCCAAAAATATTTTTTTCCCCAAAAAAGTCTTGATTTAACTTAGTTCATCTTGGGTATAAAGAAACACTCTCACTATATCTGGAGATAAGAACAAACCACAATTGTAGCTCATTCTTAATAGGTGAGGCAATGTTTCAGCTTTTTTCTGTCATACTTATTGTTTCACATAGCCTGAGAAGATTAAAATTCTCTTTTCCTTATATAAAGTCTCTTTTCCTAAAACAAAGATTGTATTACTTTGTTTTTGTTTGTTTGTTTTAGGTCTTTGCCATAGGGTTCATGTGTTCCTGGAGAGAGACAGAGAGAAGGAAAGTGAGAAACCACCCCCCTTCCTCTGGAGGAAATGGTCATGTCGTAATCCCTTCTTCCATTCTCTTTTTTTGGGGAGGTTTTTGCTACAGGGCGCATGTGCTCGCCGGAAATAGAGAGAGACAGAAAGCAAGAAATCACCCCCAGGTGGGATGGCCACGCTGCAATCCCTTCTCCTCCATTCTCCTCTCGGGATCTTGGGCATGCATGCACACACGCCCAGCGTGAGTTTAAGCCACCGGGTCTGGGACTCAAACCGTGGTTGACTACATTGGAGTCCAGCGACATAGCCATTACACCAACAGCTGGTCCCACCTCCATTCTCCTCTTGGGATCTTGGGCACGCACCACATATGCCAGGTGTGATTTGCAAGCTGCTAGTCTGGGACTTGAACTGCAGTTGACCATGTGGGAGTTCAGTGCCTTAACGACTACTTCACCTGCTGGCCCCTGTATTGCATTGATTTTCATATTTTTTTCACGATCTGTTTCAGGATGCTTCACTCTTTTTTTTAATTTTTCTTTAATAATTATTCTATTTAACCTTATTTATTTATTTATTTTAATGTGACCAGAGAGGGATATATAGAGAGAGAGAGAAGGAGAGAGGAAGGGAAGGAAGTAAAGGGAGAAAGCAAGCCACCAGGTCCAGGACTCAAACTGTGGTTGGTCATGCGGGAGTCCAGCAACATAACCATTACTCCATCTGTTTGGTCCCAGGATGCTTCACTTTTACAGACAGCACTTAACCAGAGCAGACAATGTAAGACAACATGATCAAGTAAGATTGAATTTGTAGTTATCTTAAAAATGAAGGTTAAGGGACCAGCAGATGGTGTAATGGTTACATCACTGGACTCTCACACAGTCCCGCAGTTCGAGTCCTGGACCTGGTGGCTTGAAACTCATGCTGGGTGCATATGCATATATCCCCAAAATCCTGAGAGGAGACTGGACGAGAAGTGTTTGTGGCATGGCTATCCCCTGACAAGTACATGTTCTCTATAGCAAAAATCACTCTCTCAAAAAAAAAAAAAAGTTAATGTTGAACAAACATTTTTTGTTTTGTTTTGCTAGTGGGCATGTGTGCTCAACAGAGACAGAGAGACAGAGAAAGGGAGGAAGAGGAAAAAGCACCCACCATGGGAAATAGTCATACTACAATCTCTTTTCCTCCATTTCTCCTGACTTTTGGTATTTTGGGCCTGTACACACATGCACCAGGTCACGGATCCAGCTGCCTTAATGATCAGGCCACAGAGTCAGCTCAAGACTTTAGTATTTTCTTTTTTTTTTTAACAAATTTCTGTTATACGGCAAGTGTATTTGCCAGAGAGACAGAGAGAGAGAGGAAGTGAAAAATAACGCCCTGGGGAGGTGGCCAGATTGCATTCCCTTCTTTTCCATTCTCCTCTTGGGATTTTGGGCACATACCCACACGTGCCCGGTGTGAGTTTAAGCTGTTAGGTCCGGGACTTGAGTTGCAGTTGACTATGTGGGAGTATAGTGATGTAACCATTATACCATCTGCTGGTCCCAAGACTAGTTTTTAACAGACTCATTTTAGTAAAATCATTTAAACTATTTAATTTCATTAAAAACTATTATCAAAAATACCCCAAAATCCTTGGACCAGCAGGTGGCATGGTGGTTAAAGCATTGTTTCCCACATGGCCGACTCCGTGGTTCAATCTTGGACCCTGTAGCCTGGAAGAGCAAGCCAGGTGTGTGTGTATGTGTGTCTGTGTATGCCCCAAATCCTGAGAGGAGAATGGAGGAGGAGGAATTGTGGCATGGACATCCCCCCTATTGAGTGATTTCTCACTTTCCCTC